AAAAACACTAAGTACACAAAAGCCCCAAATTTATTTGATATTAGAACCCTAAAAATTATGTCTCTAGTATTTCAAAATCCTAACTTCATAAAATTATGAAATATGAAAATTAACAATCTAATAATCTGAAAATATACTTTTAAATCATTAAAAAACATGATTTGATACTAAATAAACATATTTAAAACAATTAAAAATCAATACCAACATGTGTACATAATTATCTATTAAAGAAATAAGAGAAGAGAAAAGAGGGAGAGAGGGCCGCTCACGGAGGGAGGCCGGTTCGTCGATGACGCTAGTAGGTGGCCGGAGCTCTGATTGGCGGTGGGTGGCAGACAACAGCAGCAAAACAACTCCACCATGGCAAAATTGTTAACATAAGGATGAGGGCAAAAAGAAAGAAGAAAAAGAAAAGGAAAGAAAAAGGAAATATAAAGGATAAAACTAACCCTATTGACTTTGTTGACTTATGTGAGGGAAAATTTTGGGGATAGATGGAGTATTTACAATCTAGGGTAGGTTAGGGTAAGTTTTGGGCTTTATAAAATTGTGGACTTGAATAATAAAATAGGTAGCCCAAATATAAAAATAGAATGATTGGGTTTATTATGAAGATGGGCTACATTCGAATTGAATACTTATTGACCCAAAAATTAAACCTTGTATATTTAAATCCCATAATTAAAATAATTTGACCCAAAAATATATTTTACAATTAATTAAATTATTTATAAAAATACATAAAAATACGAGGTATTACAGTCTACCCCCTTAAAAAGTTTCGTCCCCGAAACTTAGATACGAAAACCAGAAAAAACTCGTTTGAAAACGAATAAATAATTGTAAATTCTGAAAAATTCTTTGACGTTTTAGTTGCTGTACTTTTGTGATACTAAATTTCTACCTCATTTACCCATCTTTACACAAACTAATGTGTAAGATAACCAACTCACTAAGCAACTTACACAAACTAGTGTGTAAGATAATCGATTCATTACCAAATTTACACAAATTGCTATGTAATATACACCCTTGAACACAAACTTATACGAACTAGTGTATAAGTTATCCAATCAAAACAACAAAGTCAGTACAAAACTGACTAAAAAAGCACTAAAAGTACTTAAATTAACAGAAAAGGCGTGAAGTTCTACCGCACTTTACCTCCCTTAAAGAAAACAAGTTATGTCCCCGTAACTCCACTCAAATCAACATAGACAATTCAAGACATTCCCTCTTTATCCAATTTTTTTGTTAAACTATAATACTTCCAACTTATTGCCATCCTTATTGCATGTACTCGCCATAATATAACCAATCCTTTACCCAAATCAACTAAGAAGTCATGATTGAGTAATAATTAATAACAATAAATATCCTCATGGAATAATCAATACGTCGATTCTACTTAAATCATTCCATGGTAACCTTTTAACAGACAAATGCAATGTATTCCTTATGTCAAAAATCCTGATAAATTTCCTCAAAGGTCCAACATTGATCTTACTCAATAAATTCTATGGCATACCTCCCTTAACTTGAGGTATACGAAAACACTTGTACTTTACCAAAGTCGTGGCATGGCTAGTCGATCTTTAGCCACCTTTACCAATCCTTGTGGCTCAAGTTCCATTGATATTGAAGTTCAAGAATAATACGTGGGTGGAACCTTTAACCCAATATACCTTTCCAGTCACCCTAAAAGTTGAAAATAATTACTCTCTACATGTATTTCATCATTATACGCGTTTCCAATCGTTTACCCAATGTACTTGTTTACACTCTCTCAAATTTTCGAAAGATTTTTGTAGTTTGAAAACGACATTTTTAGGTGCTCCATGGAGCGTCACCTACTTTGACTTAATTCCTTATAAGTTTGTCCATCGCAATTCAAAGATATCATTCATGTTTCTTAACTCAAATTAATATGCATTAAAATCCATTGAGATGAAATCTCTCCTTAACTCGTATCATTAGTGGATGTATTGTCCTCTTGATTCTCCTATGCTCAATCTTTACTTCTTGCCAAATCATTAGTGGATGTATTGCCCTTCCTTTATAGGTTTCTCTTTCAATTCGTCGCATTTAACACCTACCTTTTCACACCAAGGTTCCATTCTTCATTAATATTGATATAGTCACTCTTCTTCCACTAATCTTTTCACAAATTCGATCAACTCCAACATTCGAGATTAGCCTCCTCTATTTCCTCAAATTATGCAAAGTTTTCTTCCTTTGCAAAAGTGCATAGCGTATTCTCTAACGATCTATGCTACCCCGACACTCTCCTCATATAGAATATCGCGTGTCGACTCAATACGACACGCGACACGACCCTCAACACGCCTAGGCTGAGGCGTCGACTCCCATATCGGTGAAGTGTCCCTAAGCGTGTGTCGGGATCTTGATTGCCGTAGGTGGTGTCTCTTGGTTGCGGTCGAGGTTCAAGCTCTGAAACTTTCAATGGCTTGCTTCTCGACCTTTTTATTTCTTAAACAACTCTCAAGCTACAATCACTGCATTTTATAACTTTAATCCTCGTCCTAGATCATCCTCAACTATATATGCTTCCTTCCATAATATGGAATGTTCAAATCGTATAAAAATTCATGTAACACTCACATTCAAATCCAACCATCTCTCTTAACACGTATTCAAATCCTTTTTCATGAAATTGCACCTCAAATTCTTGTAGTCCTTGTATACTCCTACTTCACACCACGATGCTTTCACAACGTAATCCCTCACCAGCTCCAATAATGTCCTGTTAAACCCAGGCTTGTACTTCAAGCACCATTAAGGTGTAGGTTATTCCCCAATAGATTTCATCTAGTCCGTTTATGTGCCTTCCTTTTGCAATTAATATCATTTACTCAAATCAGAATCCACACAACTAATTATGTCTCCATGCACGATCCTTCATATCCTTATAATGCATTAAAATGTCCTCAATGAACTACAATAAATTTATCCCAAAATGACAATACTCAGTTAGCCACATTAATTAACAAATTAAAGTAACTAAACATGCATATTAATTAACAATCACATAATTAATTAACAAAGAGAGAGAGAGAGAGAAACGATCATACCCTTGATGGGTGCTTCGCTCCTTTTAGAGCTCGAACTTGAAAGTATAAAGTTCCGCAAATGCGCAAGCCTCCAACGGCTATCACCCTCAAGACCCGACCCGAACGGCCCCTACCCCGAAGCTTAGTCGGGGCTAGACCAAAAGAACTTAGAGTATTAGAACTAAGGTTTTCTCTTCTTGGAGATCCCTTAAAGTTCACAACTCAAGTGTCCCTTCCCAATGCCAAATGATTGGTATTTATAGGGAAGGGAGCCCTTGAATTCCAATCTCCCATCAATGTGGGAGAGTTGGTAAAATGCATTTTATTCAATTTAATTTAATTCAAAAATCAAATTGAAATGCAAGTGAATCAACAAACGACAAGTGTCAAGTGGTGAGCAAGGGGTTAGGTAAGGACCCAAAGGGGGGGTACCACCCTCCCCTTGCTCCCCAAGCAAACCCACACTTACATGCTCCCACATGCATAAGCTGTGGCTGAGCATTGGCACAAGGCCTGGCTGGCTGCCAGCCTTACTGTGCGGCACATCCATCACACACATAGGCCAGCTTGCGTGCTAAGCCTCGTGTTGTGCGGCATTGCTACTCGCATGGCCTAGCATGCTAGCTAGGCCCTCGCTGCCCTATAAGGGAGCTGTTGCCACGCCCCTGCTAGCCCAGCGATGCTTCCGCATGCGTGCTTGTGCTAACTTACGTGCAGCCAAGCGCACCAGCCCCTCAAGCATGCTCGGCCAACAAGCCTAGCACGCGCATGCATGCTTGGCTTGCGGCACACCCATGCATTGGGGTTGGTGCCCTATGCTAGCCTAGCCTTCACATGGCTAGGCCAATGCAAAGCTACGGCTTAGCTTAAACTTGTTGTTTGCTTGATTTCTCGTCTCGTCAAATCTTAAATTTGACTCGACTTACGACGCTCAGTTTCGACGCTCTAAGCTCGATATCCGACGTTTTTGTTCGTAATACTCTAATGACTCATTTAATCCTTCGAATTAATTCTTTGTTTCGGTTCGGTTACTCGATTGGGTGTGACCCGAAAGGTTTAGTCAAGATTAAGCTGTAATATTTATTATGCATTAATATTACTGATCGGAAGCGGCCTTAAGCTAGTCATTCCGATTACTTGACCTCACTGAATAATTAGCTTTCTAATAATTCCGAACCCTCTATCGGAATAATACACTTGTTCGAAGGACACCATTCCTTTTATAAAGACACTTAAAAAACAAAAAAAAAGGAAATTATCACTGGTACACCCTAGGTTTAATTTGGGATTTTATCAATGATACACATGTTTAAGTTGTAAATATCGGTGGTACACCCGTACTTTCAACTAATTAACTACAGTAATCACTCTGTTAATTAAACGTTAGTAATAGTTTAATGACTGCAATTTTGATCTAATTAAACTCCTTTTTTTTTTTTTTTTTTTTTTGCAGTAATCACCCACCTTTGTCATAATATAAACGTTGCCCCCTCATTTGCTCTGGTTTATACAACTTCTTCTTCTTCATTTCACTTTTATTTATTTCTTCTCTATTTTTTCTACAGATAGGCATCAATGTCTTCTTCTGGTATGGCCTCTTCAAGCAACAGGATTGGAAGGAATTTGTGGTTCAAAGGTGCTAATTGCACTTGTCAGCCCTCTAGAGCTGCAGATATAAGATTCTCAAACTCTAGTATGGGCTCTTCAAGCAACAATTGTACATGGAAATCATATTTCATCCACTTAAACGAAAATTCATCCATTAACAAAAACCTAATAATTTAAAGCGAAAATCACAAAATTCAAAGCACAAATCAGCACTAACCTTTTACAATCAACAAAGTAGCGCTAAATTTTCAAGATGTTTGCTTCAATCATGCGTCAATTAGGGTTTCTCAGTGTAACAAGAATAGGGGAGAGAATCAGAAAGAAGAAGAAGATGAACAATAACTTTTGTGTTTAATTTAGGCAGTTGGAGCTTGGAGGGAGAGTTAATGAGTGGGGGAAATTTTGTCAATTCATGTTAAGTTAAATTTACAGTCATTAATGTATTACTAACGTTTAATTAACGGAGTGATTACTGTAGTTAATTACTTGAAAGTAGTGGTGTACCGCTAATAATTAAAATTTAAGTAGGTGTATCATGTTAAAAGCCCAAACCTAGGGTATCCAATGATAATTTCCCAACAAAAAAAAAAAAAAACAGAGGGAGTATAAACTTAAATTTCCCCATTTACGACTCCCACATTTGTAAATCAATTGACCAGGTAACCTCTGACCGATCGAGTAACCTTTAACCAAGTAACCCCTCATCGACCGAGTAATCCATGACTGACCGAGTAACCCTGACTGATCGAGCAACCTCTGATCAAGTAACCATGGCCGACCGGGTAACCCCTGACCGACCGAGTAACCCTTGAATAACGAACCTCGACCAGACGATGTGACCAGTCACATATGAAATTTTGTGTTTATAAATTGTATTGTAATGTTTATACTTGTATAAAAAATAAAAGTTAAAATTAAAAATAATTAAAATTGTAATCTTTGTACGGAGTATTTATTTTTCTTTTACTACGTTTTTTTTTTTTTTAATGAAAGTTATTTTATCTACATAAATGCCACATATCTTAGAGAGAGGTTAGGAATTTCTCCTTTCTCCTCCATCTCCAATTCTCAATCTTCCCTCTCTATCTTCAAAGTGAAACTTTCATTTCACTCTCCTCCAAAGAATAATATGCTGCTCACTCCAAATATCTCAACATGGTCTTGTCTTACTGACACTTTCAGAAATCCTTCATCCTCTTATCCTACCTTCTCATGTAAGCTCTTTCTCTCCCTCTTTTCAATTTCCACTGATTTTTTTGCTTATTTGTAGAATTTTTGCTTGTTTATTTAATCGATATGCAGGTTATAATATGTTTTTCAATCTATTATACTTTGTAAGTTTGTAATCACTTAATTTTTAAGCACCAAGCTGCTAGAATTTTAGTTGTATGTGTTGAGCGATTAAAAATAAAAAAAAATAAAAAAAAAATCAGTGAACCCAGAGAATTGCTATTGGTTGAAGATTGTGGATTTTAATTCTATTTGATGGGTTATTTTTTTTTGTCAAATAATTTAGGAAGTTGCTTATGGAAAATTGGTTGAAGATTGTGGATTTTAATTCTATTTGACGGGTTATTTTTTTTCAAAAAATTTAGAAAGCTGCTAATGAGATTGTGGATTTTAATTCTATTTGATTGGTCATTTTTTTTTCAAAAAATTCAGGAAGTTGCTAATGGAAATTTGGTTGAAGATTGTGGATTTTAATTCTATTTGTTGGGTAACTTGAACTAGATGTTGACGGATTGAAATTATTAGTCGATTCAATTTTAGTTGATCTTACCTTTCATTCAATAAGCTTAAAATAATTCATCGAATTTATAATGCTGATCTCAAGATACCCCATTGAACACTTTGTACTTACTGTATCGTGTTTTTTTACAGGCAAGTCAAGCCTTCATGATAGTTGTATTGGACGTCTACCCTTTCCATGGATGACGGATAGATCAGGGAAGAGCTTGAGATCAGTATGTTTTTACGGTTTGTTTTCTACCTTTACCAGATAAATTGATTATGTATTGTTCTAATATGAATCATTAATTAACTAGTTCAATTAATTTAGAGATTGGTTTATGTTGCAGACTTGTATTACTATACCATTTAACAGTAAATTTGATATTATGTTTATCTTGAAATTGATAGAAATCAATTGATGAAAGTGAATACTGATTAAGTTAAACAATCGATAGAAAGACAGGTTGCTAGTACTTTAAATCGAAATGTGAGACATTTAACCTGAGTATTAAGTTTAACCAAGCTGAAAAACATTATCCTTTGTTGCCATTGACCAATACAGAGGTATTTACTTCGCCTAGTATGCTGTTTTGATTGACTATTTTGTTGATTCGAACTTGTGTGTAAATGCTGGTTCCATTGTAGTGTTATCTTGCTATTCTTTTGTCAAGTAATGTCAAACTCTTTATTCTTCTTATGCAATATACTCCTCCTACGAGTTCTAGTTAACCTAATTTTTTTTCCATGTATTGAAGTTTTCTTCAAAATATAAGATATATATAAACAGAGTAGGTATTCTGTATTCTTACAGCTATAAAAACTCTTACCACTAGATTTTATAATGTCAGTGTGTCACTTCAAGTTTATTGGCTATAACCAAAGTAATCATGGCATATACATAGACAATCTAACTTAGTTTTTTCATAAAAGGACAAGTGTTGGATGTAAATATGTACAAGTCATTATATTTTAAATACATGGAGCACATAATGACCAAAGCCACCATTCACACGTATATGGCATTTAGAATCTAGAGCAGTTCTTTTAGTGTGGTTTATATAAATGGTAAAAGTTTGGACCTGCTACTAAAATAGCTCATATACACAATTTAATCTATATAGGTATTAGGTACAGGCATACATTTCAAAGCTAAATACAGTCACTGTTGCACATATTTTCTGCTCAGCATGATGGATATAACAGTTGATAGGTCTGGTGGATTTCAAAACATAGATAGTGGTGGATTGTTATAGCCATTCTAAGTTTCCTTTAGACTCCTTTTTGTGTTGCTAACTTCAATGTTGTTGGCATTTTTATAGGTTGGAGGATCAGGTAATGTGCTTTATCTTATTGAGGCTATTAATCGAGGTCAAATACTCCAAGTGAGAGCTATGAAATTGCAGGCAGGGACATCCATGACGGTGTGCTTTCCTTTAAAGCATGGTGGGTTGCTAGGAGCAAGTACACTAAATTGTAGAATTTCAATTAGCGGACCTGTTGTAAATTGGAGAAAACACAGAATGAAACAAGTGGCTTTCCGTGGGATTATGATAAAAAATTCAGACAGCATGTTGATTACAGATGTGAAACCGATAAAAGGCAAATCTAATAAAGGGGTTTTGGAGGCATTACAGTCAATTGAAGACCCAAACAATGCTTTTGATTACTTCAAGTCTGTAGCAGGGATGCCTTATGTTGTCCATACAACTGAAACTTGTAATTACATGCTTGAAAAGTTGATGGTGCATAGAAGAGTAGGGGATATGGTTTTTGTGTTCGACTTGATGCAGAAGCAAATAATTAACAGGAACTCAACCACTTACTTGACAATTTTTAAGGTGCTCAATGTAAGGGGTGGAATGAGGCAAGCTCCCTTTGCCCTTGAGCGGATGGAATCTGCTGGGTTTATCTTGAATGCTTATTCGTACAATGGATTGATTCATTTGCTTCTTCAGTCAGGATATTGTAGAGAGGCTTTGGAGGTGTACAGAAAAATGATTAAAGGAGGAAATAAGCCTAGTTTGAAGGCATATTCTGCACTCATGGTTGCAGTAGGTAAACGAAGGGATACTGAAACTGTAATGGGACTGTTGAAAGAAATGGAAAGTTTGGGATTAAGGCCTAATGTTTACACCTTCACTATATGCATTAGAGTTCTTGGGAGGGCAGGAAAAATCAATGAGGCGTTTAGAATCTTGAAAAGAATGGATGATGAAGGGTGTGGGGCTGATGTTGTTACGTATACGGTTCTCATTGATTCACTTTGTGTTGCTGGAAAACTGGATGAGGCAAAGAATCTGTTCCTAAAGATGAAAGATAGCTGTCACAAACCTGATCGAGTAACTTACATCACCCTCATGGATAAATTCAGTGATTGTGGAGACTTGGATAGTATCCATGAACTTTGGAGTCAGATGGAAACTGATGGTTATCATGCTGATGTTGTTACCTTTACCATTCTCTTGAATACTTTATTCAAAGCTGGAAAAATTGATGAGGCATTCACTCAATTAAGTATCATGAGGGAACATGGCATTACACCAAACCTTCATACCTACAACACTTTGATTGGTGGCCTTTTAAAAGCAAATAGGCTGGACGAAGCTCTAGGTCTGTTTGAAAGCTTGGAATCTCTTGGTGTTGAACCAACTGCCTTCACCTACATTTTGTTTATAGATTATTTTGGGAAATCAGGAGCGACAAACAGAGCTCTGGAGACATTTGAGAGTATGAAAAGTAGGGGAATTGTTCCGAATATTGTTGCTTGTAATGCTTACTTGTATAGTCTTGCTGAGGCTGGGATGCTGAAGGAGGCAAATGATGTTTTTAATGGACTTCAAAGAAGTGGAATTGCTCCAGATTCTATTACATACAACATGATGATGAAGTGCTACAGTAAGGTAGGGAGAGTGGATGATGCAGTCAAGTTGCTCACTGAGATGGTAGAAAATGGCTGTGATCCCGATGTGGCTGTCATCAACTCACTGATTGACATGCTTTACAAGGCTGATCAAGTGGATGAAGCATGGGATATGTATCAAAGATTGAAGCAGATGAAGCTTACTCCAACAGTAGTGACCTACAACACGCTATTATCTGGCTTGAGGAAGGAAGGCAGAGTACAAGAGGCTATTATTTTATTCTCAGCCATGATAAAAATTGGTTGTCATCCAAACACCGTTACTTTTAACACACTCTTAGACTGCCTTTGCAAAAATGACGAGGTTGATATGGCTGTGAAGATGTTTTTTGAAATGAGACACATGCATTGCATTCCAGATGTGTTTACTTATAATACTCTCATTTATGGTTTAACTACAGACAACCGAGTATATGATGCGTTTTTGTTGTTCCACCATATGGGGAAGTCACTATATGCTGACTGTGTCACACTGTGCACTCTTATTCCTAGTTTAGTGAAGAACTCAATGGCTGAGGATGCTTTGACTATTATCAGGATCTTTTTGTTACATGGTCAGCATCGTGCAGATCGGTCATTTTGGGAGGATCTTATCAGTGGGGTTCTTGTTCAAACAAATATTGACAAAGCTATGGTGCTTGCTGAGAGCTTGATATTTTCTGAGCTTTGCCAAGATGACTCAATTTTAGTGCCACTCTTTAAGGTTTTGTCCAAACATAGAAGGGGACTTGAGGCACATGACTTCTTTTTATGGGCTAGAAGCCGCGGAATTGAAGCTACGTTGGAATTGTATTATGTATTAATCGAAGGGCTTTTGGATTTAAGTCTTCTTGAACTGGCCTGGGATCTCTTTGAGGAAATGAAAAAAATTGGTTGTGTCCCAGATGTGTCCACATACAATTTGCTGCTCGATGCTTTTAGTAAATCTGGGGATGTTGATAGGCTTCTTAGTCTTTATGAAGAAATGCAGAATCGTGGGTGTACTCCGAATACAATAACTCAAAATATCATTATCTCCGGCCTTGTGAAATCTAACAGCATAGACAAGGCTGTTGATATGTTTTATAATCTTGTTAGCAGAGATTTTTCACCCACTCCTTGTACGTATGGACCTTTGATAGATGGATTGGCAAAGTCAGGAAGACTGGAAGAAGCAAAAAGTTTCTTTGAGGAAATGATCGATTATGGATGTGAACCAAACTGTGCTATTTATAATATCCTAATAAATGGCTTTGGCAAATCCGGCGATATGGATACTGCTTGCACTTTGTTTAGGAGGATGGTTCAAGAAGGAATCCGACCGGATGTTAAATCTTATTCAATTCTTATTGACTGCCTATTGATGTTAGGGAAAGTGGATGATGCATGGGACTATTTTCAGGAATTAAAACTGCAGGGCCTTGATCCCGATTTAGTGTGTTATAACTTTATGATCAATGGTCTTGGGAGATCTGGGCGAATTAGAGATGCTCTCTCTGTTTTTGATGAGTTGCAGACAAGGAAGATTTCTCCTGACTTGTACACCTACAATTCCTTGATACTACATCTGGGAATTGCAGGAATGATGGAAGAAGCAGGAAAGCTCTATGATGAGCTTTTGCTAAAGGGATTAAAGCCTAATGTGTTCACATATAATGCTCTCATTCGAGGGTATGGCATATCCGGAGATCCTGACCGTGCATATGCCATCTATCAGAGGATGATGAGCGGTGGCTGCAGCCCCAACTTGGGAACCTTTGCACAGCTTCCTAACCAGTTTTGATTCTATGGTCATTAAAAATTTTCTGACCTGTGAAGTTACATTCAGGCCTTCTGTACAGTATAGCATGGGAAGGTTCACTTACATTATACAAGTATCTTGTTTAAAAATAGTCTGTGCATTGCTACTGTACTCTGTTGTAGACGTGGATTCTGGTATTGATGTATATTCCACCACTGTATATATAAAAATATGCTTAATATCTATCAGCATTTTTTTTTAAAGACAGGCTATAAAAATTTACTGAAGTTATAGAGATGTTATAGTAGCTGCAGCTCCTTTTGCAAGTACTGTCTTTCTGATGTACTGTCTTTGATGTACTGTCTTTCTGCTTTGTTGATACATCACCATTTGAACTTCCTGCTGATTTCCCAGATTTTTTGCTGCGCCCAGATCAACTGAATGTCACCTGCATTTCCCTCCTGTAGTATTTGAACCAGTTTTTCTGAGTTTGTTAGAATATCAGTTGATTCCATAGAAGTTCGTGACGTACACTATAGACATGCGAGTGCTTCCATTTGAAGTGCTGAAGCTGCTTAACCAGAAGTTGCTCCACCCGCTGACTTTGTACTGTTTAACTAATGGGAATCTTAAAACCATGCCATCCTTGCCCTTTTGGTGCTTTTCTTCCAAGAGCCATTAACTAAATTGTTATGCTTTTTCCCCCTTGCATCTTTACAGAATAGTTCTGAAGAAACCTGATGGATGCAGGATCCGCTTCAGGCAGACGAAGGTACTATGATACTCCTGGCTTGGGTGCATGGATCAAATCATGGTTAATCTAACCCTTTGAAATTCCGGTGAATAGATGTCATATCAAATCTTTTTCCCCCTTAAATCTACACTGTTTCTTGCTAACATTGACTCCCAGAATGTATTGATGTAGTACATGCAGCATGGGCTAGTTAGACCATCCTGGCTCAGAAAAAGCTGAATGTAAAATAAGATCCATTATGTGAAAGGTACTTATTAGTTTCCATGTAAATGACAATATTCCCGCTCCAAATTTTCTTGGCAATTTTTGAAATCCTAATAATGTGTTGTAGATCCTCCTCTTGTCCACAATACTGACGTAACAGAGGGCACAGTTCCTCTTCTGCTGAGGTTAACCTTGTTGCAGACCTTATTTTTTATTTTTTGGTAGGATTTGTTTCTATCAAGTGTTTAGGTTGGCCGATGAACGTCACTGCGCTTATAATGGTGGGCATAAACGTGTAGTGATGATTCTCTGTTCTTACTATGAAATCTTGTTCTAGTCCTCTTTTAATAACTGATTTTACTACGAAATCTCACTCACGTATTCCTTTATTCTGGTTAAACTGAAATGACTAAGGAAAGGATCTCAATCCTAGGACCAGCAAAGTTGATAAATTTTGCAGCTTGAATACCAATTTGGTTGTATATGTGATTACTCTTATGATAATTGAAAGTTGAAACTAATCTACTTGATGTTACGGACATTTTCCTCAGGCTTTAAACTGAGAGTTTCTCATGTTAGCCTTTACACTGAAAGTTTTAATTGCAATTCATGACAAGACGAGAACCGAAATTCTGGAAAAGCTTCAAAAACAGGCATGTATGTTCAAGGATCCTCTATTGGCACGGGCCAGAGAGGATCTCCGAATTCACAATCAATAATATTATAAGTTGACACGAGTATACAAACCTTCTATATCATCTTTTCAATGAGTTACACTCATATTACAAGATGAACCAAAGTACTAATAGAAACAATGAGTAAAATCCTACAGAGAAACAGCTGAAAAGCAAATCATGTAAAACAAAAAAGAGTGGCAAATCTTTCTAAAAATTCTGTTAAGACCACAACATAGGCTGAAATAAGCCCAAATTCAGTATGTGCCATGCCCTCAGTGTAAACTAACAACAAATGCCGAATGTGAGCAAGATAAACTCCGTATATCTCTATTTCCATCACTGAGAACCGTCGGGAAAAGAATCCAAGGCATCTTGCTTACCATTGAAGTAATAATCGACGACAGCTCTCATTCTTGGAAGTTTGTCAGGATGGTAATTTATATGGATGATCACAGGTTTCAACTTCTTCAGGTTAGGGTCTTTTCTAACAGTTTTAAATAAAACTTTACTGTTCATGAAAGTATAGAAATCCATAGTCCTCCTAGAAGCATGAAGCCCTTCATACCCTGGATGTGAAGGGTAAAAGAGCACCTCATTGAAAACTGCCTGGTCCCATGCTTTCTCCTTGGAAAGCCTATCAGCAACGCGATCCAAAAGCTCAATGGAAGGAATAGTAGGCCTTATGTAAAAGAACCCAGAATTATAAACCCAAATCCTCATAGTATGTGCATACCGAGCCCATCCCATTGCAGGTTCATCAAAGACATCATTATACCCATAAGCAGTCGCGTTATTATGACCATCTGTCATTGACTCCACATCAGAATCACGATAAAGATGATCAAATGGATTTTTCAAGTAGATTATATCAACATCTGACAGAAGAATACTATAACCAAGCTGCAAGAACTCCCTTAAAATACGGAACTTCAATCCAGAGACTGCATGGTTACCACCTGACCTTCCAATTTCATCCACCCCATCATCCGGGTCTCTCTTATAGGCAGCCACGCCATTGGCCTTGCAATAACTCTCAATCTCATCATCCAATGCCACAACCAAATAATTAAGTATACCCGCTTTCTTGACAGTTGATACCTGCACCTCTAACATCTCCTTCACATTAACATTTGCCAACACAACTACAAGCTCTTTCCTAACAGCAACTTCTCCTAAGATCTTAGCCAATCTGGGGTTAATCGATTCATCTGGCACTACAGTTGGGTTCGTCCTTAAACTCTTGACAGTACCGAAAGGTCCAGCCTTAGGTTGTTCACCCAATGCCAGGAATTGCTTTTGAGCAGTGTCTGTTCCCTGTTCAGCCAACCTCAGCTTCTCATTTAGCTCCCTCACTTGTTTCCTCAACTCTGCATTCTTCTCCGTCATCCTAACAATATCGGCCTTTAGTATATTAATCCGCTCACTCGATTCACACTCCGACGAACTCTCCTGTTTCACACCAAAAAATCACACAACTTCAACAAAAATCATCAACCCAATATTTTGTTATTATCAAACCAAACAACCACCAAAAGCCAGAATCCTGAATCATCAACTATATCAATACTATTACAAAGACAATCATCAAAAAGTTATATATATCCACAATATATCAAAATAATTAAAAGGGAATAAAATGTACTTTCTTAACTTACAACTATCAAGGATATAGTGAAGTAGATGCTATAACTAGTTTAAATTTACGACTTAGGATCAAATCCCGTCTATGTTGTCTTTTATTTCTCGCCAAGAAACAATATTCCTCGGAAACACCAAACAAAATCCCATTTATACGAAAAGGGAATCGACTAAAATTATACGCCAACCAAAAATATATATTTCCCAACAAAAAAAAATAAAAATAAAAATAAAAATATAGAGATATTTTAAGATGAAAAACCTGAGAAATGGAATTGGAGATAGTGGCAGCAGCCGTAGAAGGAGGATAATAAGGATGTAAAAAACCATAAGGGTAAAAAAAGGCGAATATACAGCCCATTAATATTCCGATCGCAATAGCAATTGCGATTCGAGATGTTCGAAGCGAAAGAATGCTGTTGCTGTTGCTGCTGCTTCGCATCAAACCATCTCGACGACCCCCCATCATTTGATGGATTTTGCTTTGATGATTGAATTTGAATGAATCAAGCTTTTGATTTTGGGAGAAAATTTGAGATCAATTGGTAGGGTTTTTGGTGGGGAATTTGTTCAATATGAGGGAGTTTGGAATTTGAAATGGCGTTGTATTTGTTAGGAAGATGAAGATGAAGATGAAGATGAAGATGAGCTAGTGAGAGGCAGCGGCTTCATAGTCCAGACTACAGAGACTAGTGCAGGACATTTTCAGTGATGCGTGTGTTTATTACTCCTTTCATTGTGGTTGATCTGCCAAACTGGTGCTGTACATAATTTGAGAAAAGTTATTATCCCATTAGGTACTCCATAACTCCATCCCTTTATTTACTCAATAAATGTTTAACTCTAGGGATGGCAAGGGTAAGTGATTTCCTTGAATAATGCTAAAATACAAATTAATTTCTTATATAAGTTGGTTTAAAAATTATTTTCCACAATACCGTTTACGTAGGATCGGTTCCTAGATTCGAAATTTGGCAATATAAAACCGCTAACAATATTAGCGGTTCCATATATATTATCGGTAATACCATTAGAACCGTTAATACCATTAGAGTTTATATGCATACAACCTGTAATACCATTAGATGTTCTATATTAGTTAAAACCGCCAATAATGTTAGCGGTTTTACACTTGCAAATACCGAACCTTGAAACCAAGCCAGCGTGGATAGTATGGTGGAAAATAGTTTAAACCAATGTGTATAAGGACTTAATTTATGTTATTACATTATTTTGAGAAATCACTCATCAATAAGGCGGGTCGAATGCGAAGGATGGTACCTCCATACTCATCCCCGCCAAAAAATCTTATACCCATCCTCGCCCCACCACACATGTGAGGTACAATAATACCCACATCCATACCCGCCCATGGTATATAGAAAGGGTGTAATTACCCATTAAACAGGAGTTTAATTAGGGGTTTTAAAATAATTTTCAAATTATTAAAAGGTATTTAAAATGAGTCTAAGTTGCTGGAAATTGTGTATATTAGAGTAATTAATATAGTGTTATTGACCCCTTATGTAGGAGACTTGGTTCGAGAAGTGTTGTAGTGTATTTGGCTACTTTAAGGGCTTATTCGAGGTACGTAACTTGTGTACTCGGAATTTTATTAAGCATGTAGAACCATGCTAAGATTTATTTTGGTCCAAGTTAGTATCATGCTAGAAATTGATTGGAATTGTTGAATTGGATTAGTTGTATGAAATTGGTTGGAATTGATGATTGGTTTATGAGGCATGATTTATTTGAAATGAATTATTGTTGGAATTTATGATGTTGGAAATATTAAATATGGACCATACTTTTATTATTGGTATGATTAAGAGCATGTTTAATTAAATTAAAAGTTTAATTTGGTTGAGAATATGAAAAGGGAATTTTTTATATGGTTTATAAAATATTATTGGTGCTTTGTGCACGAAAGATAAGGAAATAATGAAATATGTTATGATAAAATCGAGGTGCTATATATATAATGAACGGGATGGAGTGCACCCTTTATGCACTATTTTATGCCTTGTTAGGATGGGATGGTGTGCACCCTTATTGATGCGTGGCATTTATGCCACCATTTTAACCCCTTTTTACTACCGATTTCCCCCGGATTTGTCACTTGCTTATGCCTATTTTAACCCCTTTTATCTTGATTTTAGTCACTTTAGCCCCCTCTCGTATTTTTCCTCCCCTTTTTGTCTTTTCTTCTAGTTTTTACCTCCTTTTTATGTGTTTTGACAGCTCCCAGCGCTTATGTGCGATTAACGAATCAATAGCTCGAGTGGAGATGCCAAATGAGCTTGTCAAAGGAGTGGAGATGCCAGAATGGAGAGGGCGCGCTGTTCTGATGGGCCGCGGGCGCGGGCTTGGGAGCCGCGGGCGCGGACAGGAAAAGTCTGAAGCCAGCAGAAGAAAGTGGAGATGGCGAGCCGCGGGCGCGGCAGAGAAGCCCCGCGGGCGCGGCCCTAAGGCCTGCGGGCGCGACTTTCTGGGTTTTACGAGGCTATTTACCCAGCTTGGAGAGGGCGCGGCTGCCTGTTCGGAGAGCCCTCTCCCTTGCCCTTTTTCTTCCTTTTGGTAGAAGACTATAAATAGTCCCTTGCTTGATTTTCTTAGCATCCACTATTCCATTGGCCCCAAAAATCATTTGTAGAGAGAGAAGTTCATGGTTTCTAGAGAGAGAAAACACTAGTGTTCAAGATTTAATCTTTGTAATCAAATATTCAAGCTTTCTTCAATATTGTTGCTACTACTTTGATGATTTGGTAATATTTAATCTTTATAATATCAATCTTTACTTTTGTTTCTCTAGATTTTGATTTTCTTTGTTTTATTGCTCTTACTTGAGTTTATTTCCATAAATATTCAAGCTTTATTAGTTTCTTTGATTTTCCTTTCAAGTTAGAATCATGTTAGGTTGTGTTGGTATTGAATACAAGCTTATGTTAGTTGTTATGGCCATTCCCTTCCTTCTAGCTTAGGTTTTTAGCTAGGGAAGGGGGTGAAAATCATGTGTATTTGAATATCTATTGATTATTGATTGGGACTTATTCTTGAGTTGATGATTTGAGCTATAATATGCTTGGAGTTAGTGTGTGCACCTCTAATCCCAAGAATCTAGCCCTTGAATGAATGCATGAGAATGATTTAATCTAGGTGTGAATGATTTCGTCGACTTGCTTAAGTAGTTGCATGAGAATGAACTATTTTAGGTAGAGTTTATACTCTAGAATCGGTTTCCTTTCGGTTTTCACTAGTATTCTTTGTTCATGATTGAATCCCCCTTTCCCTAGTGCTTTTGTCATTGTTATCTCTATAATCTTGTCCATTTATTTGCTTTTAAAAGTGTTTAATCTATTTCCCTTATTTCTAGTTTATTCTAGGATCAATAGTAGTTAGTTTGTCCATAGAATTCTTCAACACAAATTCAAATACACCCTTTTGTTATTAGTAATTTCTCCTCGATTTCATATTAATTGTGTTAAACCCCCATTTCCTTGGGAATCGACCCTACCTTACCGCTATCTAAAGCAAAATTTGATAGAGCTAGGATAGGAGTTATAAATTGTAATTTTGATCTAGGATAATAAACTAACGACCTATTGTCCACCGATCAAAATTTTGGCGCCGTTGCCGGGGAAACGACTAGTTTTACACACTTATTTGCGTAATTTGTGGATTTTGTTGCTTTTTGTTTAGTTCCTTTTCCACTTGCTAGTCATTGCTAATTGTTTGTTTAGCTTTGGTGAATGTAAAGAAGATCTCAAGGACCACCTACTCACAACCTTGATCACGAAATCGACCGAACCTTGAGACAAGTCCGTAGACTCTATCAAGAAGAGGGAAGAGGTTTTGGTGCAATTTTTTATTGTGAAAGTGATTCTTGTTCCTCACATTCCCAAAGTGACGAAATGGCGGGACAACAAGTGGATGTATTATTCCGTGAGTTCGGTAATCCGGAGGATTATGAGCTCACCGGTGGGATATTGTTACCCGTCACTAAGACTAACTTCACCATCCATCCTCAATACACACGAATGGTTCAAGCGGAGCAATTCTCGGGTTCGCCAAGTGAAGACCCCATTGAGCACCTTGATAGGTTCCTCGAACTCTGTGCCATAATACAAACCAACCAAGTTTCCCAAGAATACATCCGGATGCACCTTTTTCGGCAATCTCTTGCGGGGAGAGCAAAGAAGTGGCTCAAGCAAGTCAAACCTAATTCTCTCACGACATGGAGGGAAATTGTGCAAGCATTCTTGAAGAGATTCATCTCCGAGGAGAAAACCGCCGAGATGAGGAGGAAGATAGCATCTTTTGAACAAGAGGCGGAGGAGAGTCTTAGTGAAGCTTGGGAGAGGTTTAAGGAGTTGGTGCAAGCATGTCCTCACCATGAGTACAATCAAAGCTTACTCATGAGGTTCTTCTATGATGGTTTGGAACCGATGTCCCGAGCTAATTTGGATGCGGGAGCGGGTGGACAATAGATCAAAGTCCCTCAAAATCACGTTAAAGCAACGATCAAAGAGGTAGTTAAAAATTACTCTTGGGGAGGAAGAAGGAGGAATGCACCAAAGAAAGGTGGGAAGTATGAGTTGGAGAAGGTCGATCAATTGCAACATCAAATTGAGATGTTGACAAAAGGGCTTGCCAAGTTGAATACAAGTGTTGCTAGTGGTTCAAGCTCCTCCCAAGTCAACTCTTTCTCTTGTCAAAATTGTGGTGGCACCAACCATGATACATCCTATTGTGGCGGGTTGAGCCCGGAGCATGTAGCGGCATACAACACAAGGCAAGAAGGGTATAGGGGAAATGGTGGAGGAGTAGCTTGGAGACAACCACCACCCGGATTTGCAAACCAACCTCAACAATGGAATCAAGAGGCTCAACAACCATACAATTCCAACACCCAATATCAAAACCTTCCTCCATTCCAAACCTAAAATCAAAGAGGAAACTACCCAAGAAACAACCAACACAATAATCAACACCAATACCAAAATCAAACCCAAGCAACTCAAAGAAGTCAAGAGCAAGCATCTCAACCCGATTCTACTCAAACTCAAATCCTTCAACAACTTCAAGCCATGAATCAACAAATGCAAGAAGTCAAGGCTCATAACAAGATGGTTGATTCACAACTAGCACAATTGGCCGAGAGAGTTTCTTTTAACTCATCTTCCACTTTGCCCGGACAATCACAAACCAACCCTTCCAATATTGTAAAACCCGACTCTTGCAAGGCAATCACATTGAGATCGGGTACATCTTATGAGAGTCCCAAGGAAGAGGATGGTAAGGAAAAGGAGGGAGAAGAAGAGATGAGTGATGATAAGAAAGTTGAAGAAGAGAAGGTTGATGAGAAAGAGAAGAGTATGGAGAAAAAGAAGACTAAGGATGTGGTGACATCCTCAACTTCTAGTGAGGCTAGAAACCTTGATGGACCGGTTCCTTTTCCCGGTCGGCTTGAGGAGAGAAAATTGAACGATAAATTTGCAAGGTTTCTAAGTGTGATGAAAAACTTACACATTAACCTCCCTTTCATTGAAGTTGTCACACAAATGCCTTCATACTCCAAGTTCTTGAAAGACATTCTCACCAACAAAAGGAAGCTCAATGATGAGCTTATCAATCTTCCCCATCAAGTGAGTGCACTTGTTCAACACAAAATGCCCAAGAAGCAAAAGGACCCGGGAAGCTTTACCTTGCCGGTCAAAATTGGGAACATGGAAGCTAGGGGTGCCCTAGCCGATCTCGGAGCAAGTGTTAGTTTAATCCCTTTATCCATTGCTCAAAAGCTTAACATCGA